TAGGTGCTCAGTAAATATTTCTTGAATGTATAAATAAGTGAATTGAATTGCATATGGGACTCGGATAAGGCTCATCTGTCACAAACTAGAACTCTTTGGGGGGCTCGGCAGGGAACGTAAGCGGGTGAAGGGTGATGGTGTAAGATAAAGGGGGAGGGTTGGGCACTGTGGCAAACCGAAGAGAACATGCCCCAGGTAAAGGTCTTCAAAGTCATTTCCCGGGGGTGGGGGCAGTAGGGAGGAGCACTGTGGGCCAAGCAGAAAACCCACAGGGCTGTGCCTTTGGGGGACTTTGTTACTCCATTATCACCAGCGTCTGGTTCCATTTCCCAGAGGCACAACCCTAGACATTCCACAGCCCTGAGAGGCCTCCTTTGAGAGTGAAGCATCCAGGGCCCGGGGCTTAGAAAACCAGTGCCGCGGACGGTGCTGGGTGAAGACGTGCTTGTTCGTGTGCTCACTCAGTGCAGATCTTTCTGGGAAAACTGAGCGGTGCCTCAGAAACTACATAGTGATTTATTTTTTTTAAAAAAAAAGAAAGAAAAGAAAAAAAAAGAATAAAATGTAACTGGCTTGAGAAACAGGAACATCAACCTGGGAAGTGGCAACCAAGTTGACAGCAGTGACAGGGAAAGCGACTCAATGCCTTGTGTCAACAGTGGAGTCTTCTCTTCGACAGGGTTCATTTTTTGAAGACAGAGCCTGTCATCAGACTTCTGGAGACCATCCCGGGGCATTCATTAGTTTTTTTTTGAAGAGATCAGTAGGCAAAGCGACCCACGCCATTGAAAGTCCTTTCTCTCCTCCCAGACGTGCCCCGTGCTGTTAATGTAAGGCATCGGTGCACATGATGTGAACGTCACACCGGCAGGGGCTTCACTGACATCAGCTCTCCTCTGCTTGTCTTCCGCCAGTCCCCTGAGAGTGACATGAGTCCTGCCCTAAGAACCAGCATCCCTCATGAGAGTCACAGTTGTATGATCTTGGGCACCCCCGGGCAATGAGTCTTTCCAACTAAAACATTCTGTGTCATTCAGTGATACCAAATCAGAACTGGCTCCCAGGGGCAGACTCCAGATGTGACTTGTTGGGTATATATATATATATATTTAAGTTAGTTGATGTATTAGTTTTCTACTACTGCTGTAATTTATGCTGACCATAAATTTAGTGACTCAGAACAACACAAATCCATGATCTTACAGTTCTGGAGACCAAAATCATCCAACACAGGTCTCACTGGGCTCATCTTGGGGGCTTTGTTTCTTCCTTAAAATCTAGGAGAAAATCCTTTTCCTCGTCTTTCCCAATTGCTAGAGACACTCCCATTTCTTGTCTGGTCGCCTCCTGCCTCCATTTTCAAAATCAGTATTGTTTCACCTCTCTGTGTCTTTCTCCCATAACCGAATCTCCCATTGACTCTTTCCTCTTCTGCCTCCCTCTTCCTCTTGTAAAGACCCTTGTGATGACACTGCCCACTCCACCAAGTTTTCAGGATAATCCTCCCATTTTAAGGTTGATTATATTCTGCCTACCGCAGGAGATTGCATTTCTTTTTATAAAAAAAAAACATACAATCTAGCTTTCTGTGATTTTCTTGTAACAAAGATCTGGCAACACTGGGCCCCAGTCTTGCACCAGCAGGTTCCCCTTACAGTACGGCAACAATGGGCTTGGACTGAGCTGCTCCCTGTCTGCCCTAGTGCCCACCCCTCCTTATCATCTTCCTGACTGACGCCCAGAGTAAGTGGCCATTTGCCATTGCACTGGGTTATTGTTTTTCTTACTAAGCTTGTGTCTCTCACCTGCATTTGCCCCTGGCCTCAACACCCGTTGAGCCTACAGCATCTCTTCTTAATTCTTAGGAAATCCCAACTCTACCCCTTTGGCTGTCTGTCTACATCAGGAAAATTACACAGTAGTGTATGCAATTGATCCCCACCCACATGTGACACAGGAAAGGGGAGCTCAGTGTTGTATGCAACCCAGGAACCCACAGCAATAGAGAGCCAGCTGCTGGTCTCTGGGGAAGGATGAATGAGGCAGATATGTTCCCAACAGTGAATGATGCCAGCAAACACCACTATCTATGGTATGCCAGGGGCTGCATTCTGTGCTTGCAATTTTATTTCACTGAATCCTCATGACCGCTTAATGAGGCTGATGCTATTATTTAGCTTTTCCCCACCCCTCTCTGGAAACTGTGGCACAGAGAAGTTAAGTAAGTTGCCCAAGGTCACACAGCTGGGGTGTATCAAAGTTGGAATTCAGACATGTTATTCTGACTCCAGAGTCTGAGACTTGATTCTTACAAGCTCTGCCTTTAGAGAGAATTGTCTATGATTTCAAGATTCTGAGGGATTAAAATTGGGAATAAAAGCTGGACCAGACGGATCATTCTACCAGGGCTCCAGAATAGACTTGAGTCCTTCTGAGTCCCCAGTTTCACACAGGAAGCCACCAAAACAGGAACAAAGGTCCTCTGTCGGAGGATCCTGCCCCTGGAGGAATTCTGGCCTTGAAGTTGCCTAGGCAAGAATTCCTAAATCGCAACCCTGGCACTCAGAGGGCACACAATGCCAGCAAGAAGGCCTGAAATTAGAACAGATAACAAGGAACCGTGGTGGGTGTTGGGGAGGAGGGAGGGACGCTTTTTTGTGAGAACCTGGCACTGCTGTTGGCTTTTCAAACATTACATTTAGATCTGTGAGCCCGATTAACTTCCCTGGTTAAAAGATAAAGTAGACCTTCCAGTTCTAGTAAAACAGGAGAGGACAGTAGCTCTGGGGAGGCCCATCAAATGGCTCGAGCATGCTCCCACCTGAGTTTAGCCTGGGGCTTCTGCCTGTGACAAATGGGATACTGATTTCCTGCTAAACCGAATAGACTCACCATTTGCCAGAACAAATAAGGTGTAGGGAACTCTTAACCCCGGGCAGGTGAGACTCTGCCAGACAAGACTGATCGAGGCATCCATGTAGGCAGGTGAGAGCTCCGTGACTGTGTGCTCCCATTTGCTCCCATGCCCTGAAGTACGCCTGCTGCCCTACTGTGTTATGAATAGTGCCCCTTCCACTTTCAGAAACTTCCATCTTGGCTGAGAACATATTCAATCACCCTCCGATGATGTTCTGTGAATAAATCCTTGTGAATAAATAAATTTCAGAATAAATACTTGCTATCTGGTGATAGGCGTACCTCCTTTCATTGTGCTTTGCAGATACAGCACTTTTTTTTTTTTACAGATTGAAGGTTCATGATAATCCCACATCGAGCAATTCTCTCGGCATCATTTTTCCAACAGCATTTGTTCACTTTGTGTCTCTGTTGTCACGTTTTGGTAATTCTTACAATGTTTGAAACATTTTCATTACTATTATATTTGTTATGGTGATCTTGATGTGACTACGATGACTTGCTGAAGGCCTGGGTGATGGTTAACCTTTTTTAGCAATAAAGTATTTTTAAATTAAGGTATATACATTGTTCTTTAAAGACATAATGCTATCGCACACTTAACAGACTCCAGTATAGTGAAAACATAACCTTTATATGCACTGGGAAACCAAAAAACTTCATGTGACTCACTTCATGGCAGTATTCACTTTATTGTGGCAGTCTGAAACTGAACCTGCAATGACTCTGAGGTGTGCCTGAATTTTGTGTCTTTTCTGTTTCTTTCTCCGAAAGGAAATGAACAGAAAATTAGTGACTGAGAGCATCAGAGAACGTCAGAGCTGAGAAGAAGCTCTAGACATTTTCTGAGAAAAGGAACTAACCCTGTGACATCTCTACTATAGGCCAGACAGTTCGGGCACAAGACACAAGCAACTTCCTTTGCCACAGAATCGCCCAGAGGAGTGATGAGTATTACTAGCCTCTTTTAAAGATGAGGAAACTTCGGAAAGGACTCGATGCTCAGACACCAGTTGATGGCATGACTAAGGTTAGAATCCAAGCCTGGATTCTCCCAGTCTCTCAACCCCTCAGTCTCTTCCTTACTCCAGGCCACCTCTTGCCTTCCTTTTGACATTTTTTTTTTTTGTGGTAAATTAAAGAAGAATGGAACATGTATCCTGGAAGACCTGTGGATTTTTTGTTGTGCTATGGGCTGAATGTGTGTCCCCCTAAAGCTGATATGTTGAAACCCTGTGTGTGTGTGTGACAGTATTAGGAGGCGGGGCCTTTAGGAAGGGCTTAGGTCGTGGGATGGAGCCCCTGTGAGTGGGATTAGTGCCCTGATGAAACAGACCCCAGGGAGCTCCCTCGTCCTTTCTACCACGTGAGGACATTGTGAGAAGGTGCTGGCTGTGCGCTGGGAAGAGGGCTCTCACCAGAACCCAGTCATGCTGGTATCTTGATCTTCGACTTCCAGCCTCCAGAACCGTGAAAAGCAAACTTCTATTGTTTGTAAGCCACCCAGCCTGCGGTGTTTCGTTATACAGACCTAAATGGACTTAGGCATGTTGTGAGCAGCAGAATCCAACTTCGTGCTACCTGAGCAACAGGGTAATTTATTAGCAGGGTACTTTTGCACATTTGCATACAGAAAAGGACAGCTTTGAGAACCAGATTTGGAGAAGCCAAGGGTTTCCACAACAGAGAGAGGCAGGCTTCTTCAGGGCCCCAGGCTGGAGTGAACGAGGGACGTTCATGTTGCCATATTCCCCCCTTAGTTTCCTTTTCTCCTTGGCCACTCCCACCTGGCAGCCTTGCTCAGCCTGACCCAGCTGGGCCCATCGCCCGAAGCAGGTGCCTCCCTACCTGCGGGAGAGAAAAATGTATGCAAACCAAGAATCATTACTTTGGGAGACAAAATACCCTTTCTTTCGTAGCCTATTAAATGTGGTTCTGGGTAAAAAATACTGATTATTCACTTACTGAAATTTCCGTCCTTGGAAACAATATTTCTCAGTGGAAAGAGTCTGAGCGTCCGCCAGGTTTGGTTTCAAATCCCACATTCTACCCCTGATTATCTGCGAGGCCTTGGACAGGCATTTGTTTTTTCTCTGCAATCTGTAAAATGGGTATATTTGCCTCTATTTCCTTGTCACAAAAAGCAGTCATAAGGATCCCATGATATTACACACGTAAGATTCGAACATTTCTTTTCTCCAAACCCTCGAGGTCTCACAGAAGGGTTAAGATAGATAAATTATGTGTTCTAGATGCATCTTCTTTTCCTCAGGCCCCTAACCCACTCTTTGTAAGGCGCCCATTGTCTGTTCCAGGAACATGCCCCTGGGGAGGAAGCTCTGACAGCACAGGAAGGAGCCCAAACAAGGCGCCTCTCCCAGGACAGTGTATTGGATGATGCACTCTGTCTGGGTGAAAAATCTGGGATATAAACTGGAGGTCAGGGCACTGATATCATCAAGGCAGATAATGCAGCCAACATCAGAAGTTGTGTGGAGGCCGCACACGCCAAGGCCACAGGTGAGGCAGGAACGTCCAGACTGAAAGTCAAGGGCAAAGTGATTTGCCGAGACCAAAGGGACAAGTCATAAAGGCAGAGCAGACGGAAATCCACCTGGCCCTGCGTCGGCATATTCCTGCTCCATGCTGACGAGCTGTAGGAACTCGGGCAAGGGAATTCTGGTCTCAGCGTCTATAGAATGGGAGCACTGCCATCTACCTACTCCTAGGGCTTCTGTGAGGATTAAATGTGCTGAGAGCTGTCACGGACGGGATCCACGCTGGGCTGCTGGGCTTGCTGGTCGCAAGTCTCTCCCCCTTAGTGGCACGGGTGCACTTCCTGGGCCCACAGCTCGCCCTTGGAGCGTGCAGCCTGTGGGCCGAGGTCGGTGGCCTTTGCTGGGCTAGGGGTACCATTGCTTCTGCTCCTCCTGCACCCAGCCCGTCCCCTCCCCCACTGCCCTTCTCCAGCTCGCTTGAGGAGGACGGATGGGGCAAGGCTTTTCCCTCCTCTATCAAGCTGAGAAGACTGCCTCCCCCTCCCTGCCCCTGCCCACGGCCCGCCCACCCACGCAGGCACCCAGGGAGTTTCCCTTCCAGGCGGCCCTGTCTGGGGAAAGGCTGCCCAAATGAAAAATAGGGCAGACGAGGAAGAGAGGCTTGACAGGAAGTCCAAATAAGCACTTCCTCCCACCCACCTTCACACTTCTGAGGCACCTCAGCCAAAACAGAAGAGAGAGACAGAGAGGATGAAAAAAAAATACATGCATATATATATATTTATATATATGAGAAGAATGAAATTGTCATCTCTGAGGAAGTGGAAAATATCGCTCCTCACTGCCACACGCACAGCAGCTGCTTCATGCTTTCCTCCTGCACATCCCAGGATGGGGGAGGTGGGGCCGGTGTCCAGACGGGGGTGGCGGTCAAGTCAGAGTTGGGGGTGCAGCCTGGAGAAGGGCTGCCCTGGGCTTGCCGGAGCCCCTCCCCACTCTCCACCACCTCCTCCAGCCCCCTCCAGCAGTGGCGAGGATGGCCCTGCACATCAGGGGAGGCTGTGTGGCCGGCCCGTCCCTGCTGGCACACCCATTCCAAGGCAGGGTCCCCAAATTCTGTGTGTCAGTGTATGGCTGCCAGGTGCGTGGAGCTGCCCTGCTCAGCAGGACCGTCCGGACCCCTTCCTGGCTCTCCTGGCTGGACCCTCCCATGTGGGTGGAGCCTTTGCCGTCCAGAAAGATTTCACCCAGATGGTGCTTCCAGTGCCAGTCTCTGGGAGCAGAAGGGGAAACCGTCCCCTCCCCGTGAAGGTGACAGCTGCCGCTCTCGTTCCCGCTGTAGACAAACCCGCACAACCCCTAAGGCAAGTTCCAGTAGAATTGCCCTCAGCCTCAAGTGACACATGGAGCCATAACAACCTGGTGGAGGTGAGGCTGGAGCGACCCCACAGAAGGGCAATCTCTCCATCGCCCGCGGGACCCCAAGGCGCCACCTGCTCTGGGCCACACGCCACTACCTTTTTATCCCTCCCCGAGGCAACACTGTCTGTCCAAACCAAATCCAAATGAGCACTTTCTCCCTTCCACCTTCTCGTTCCACAGGTACCGTGTGGAAGGTCAACATGTTCTCCCTCCAAAGGCCTTACTTTCCATTTTCTCCTGGTCCCGGAGTGACAACTCCCTCCTCCATCCCCTCCCCTGCCCCCCAGGCCCCCAGAGGCCACAACCCACAAGCCTCTTCTAATGAACTGCGTATTTTTCTCACCTCTAAAATTAGCCGTGGAGAAAGGCAGTTATCTCCCCATCTAACTCTTCAGTGGTTTAGCAGGAAAGAGAGAGAGCTTTAGGTATGGACAGTATGCGGTTGGGCGGGGGGGCACGAATATTAGGTGACCCTCTGCTCTGGGTTGCAGTGTGCTGTTCCCGCATCCATTCTTTGTCTCTAGGACCTAAAAATCTGACACGTCACTCCTTGCAAGATTTGCTTTCTCATCCACAGCTCTGTTGGATGCACATTTGAGATTCCGACCCCATGAGCCCCCATCCCGTGTACTCACACGACATTGTTCTTATTGTGCACAGACTGTCCTCTTTCTAACTTGGAGATACTGATTGCAAAGCCTAAGAAGGCCTCTATGAACCTTTCAGTTTGCTCCTTCATGAGCTCTGGGCTTCCCCACCTGGCTGGGGGAGAGACAGAGAGATGGGAGGGCACCCATCTTCCTCCTCCAGCCGCGACTTTCTATCACCATGCCTTACCTGCTCCCCACTCCTGCTCTGCTTCATGCCTGAAGCCAAGACCGATGCTCTTTGGCGGATCATTGCGAGTTGGCCCCAGCCTTCCTCGATGTGGCGTCCCCTCTGCTGTGTGCTATCCCCCGAGGCTGCGCTCGTGACTGCCCACTTTATAGGTGTGGAGCCTGTGGCTGGGCCAAGTGAGCCGGCTTGCACAGGGTCATCAGATCTTCCTGGAGTCCTGAGCCCTTCTTGGACACCAACTAGCCCTGCCCCGGAACTTCTGGAACCCTCCAGCCAGAGATGGCAGATGTGAAACTCATGAGTGTTGGGAAATCACCGAGGACTGGGGAAGCGGAGAGACTCCAGGCTGAAGCAACCAGCTTCCCCTTGCGCCACCTGCCTTCATGGCCTTGGCTGCCCTTCCTGGGGAATGGGTCTGGGGCCCTGCTGGGAGGGTCCCCGAAGGCCTGCCTCACGGGAGGTGCCACATCGTCTTCTTAACTTGTCTAGACTGCCTACCTCACTGTTCTTCACGGAAGGCAGGCTGATAGCATGGAAACTGTGCTGGGTCTGGAGCCAGAGTTGGGTTGGAATCCCTACTCCACCTTGTGCAATTTAGGTAATGTCTGAGAGCACCGGAGGAGGCAGAGAGGAAAAGGACTGGGGCTCTGGACTCAGAGAGAGTTCCAGACAAGACCCGGCTGCACAGCCTACTTGCTGGGGGCAGGGGACAAGGAGTGTCACCTCTCTGAGCCTCAGTTTTCTCTTCTGTGAAGTGGGAGTGGTCATAGCGCCAACAGTTAAATTAAGACAACCGGTGAAGAGCTCTTAGGTGTCCCAATGCAGGCCTCATAGGAAAGATGCCACATGTTGTATCTGTGACGATTCTTCACCATCGTCACACTGTCAGCCATGTTTCTCAACTGCTATGTGTCTCTCCTAAATGGGCTCCATGGATTGCCCATCTTGGCCACATTTATTCAATAATTCTTCCAAAGGAGACCAACATTTAGCTATAACTTAATTCCAACTTCTGCTTTTCTGTAGATTTTTATTCTCATGAGGGTGGGTGATCATTTAAAAAAAATTGCTTCTCATTCTAAGGATAATCTTGAATGTTCCTTTCCACAGGTACGGTGTGTTTTAGGTGCTCATGAAGCACAACCCAACCCAACACACACACACACACACACCCCACACACACCACACACAGGTTCAGAATGCCCTCCCTCGGCTCCGTCTCCCAAGGCCCTGTTTAAATTCCGACAAATTCCATGACATCTTCTTCGCCTGCCATACTTGGAAGTGATTTCTCTCTTCCTCTCTTTTCAAATGGGTTTTATCATTTGCTGCCCTTCTGGGGATTTGAAAATTGAAGTGACCTCTCCCACCAATGGCGGAGCTTTTGAACAGCAGGCCACGCTTTACAGAGCACGGTCAGTTACTGCGAGCTCCTAGGTACCAGCCCTGTGAGGAGCGCTCAGCCTGGGCTGCCTCCGCTGATACCCCTGGCGCCCTCTGAGATGAGGATGACAGCAGCTCAGGCTCGAGGTGCTAAGCCCAGGATGAAGCACAATTCTCATTTACACAATGACCTAGGCAGGCTGGTGCATTGCAGTAACGGTGGGGGTTCCTTAGATTGTGCCTAAGATGTAAACTGTGCGTGGCCAGAGTTATCCTTGAAAGAGCTTCAGGAAGGCACTGCCTCACGCGCCAATCTAACTTCACTCAGTGGGTGCGACAGAGCTTGGTTCTTCCCTCAAGCATCGGGACAGATGGCCATCCGCGTGTGCACGTGCATGGAGCACTAGATGGAGCGGTGAACTTGTGTTTGGAGGTTCTGATGTTGCACAAATGCAATGTTTGCTTTTTAGACACTGGGCTTGCCCTCTGTCAAGGAGATGCTCAGATATGAGAAATCCGCGGGGTCTGAGACCGACTAAGAAAACAGAAAATTCCCATCTCCTGTCTCCAGGGGATGTTCTCTTTAGACAGAATTTAGGGAGGAATCAATAGTAAATAGAATACATGGGGAAAACAATAGTGACTAGAATTTATGGCAGCATCAACAGCAACCATTATTTTTTTTTCTTTAACTTCTTCCCCTTAAGTTTGTCTAGTTAAATGCATGTAAGTTTCATGTGCATATGAAACAATTCTTCTGTGTTCCTAGTTCATAGATATGGACACGGAGCTTCCTAGAGTTTAAGCCCGTGCCTGAGGTTGCACAGCACGGAAACAGTCGTTATCAGAAGTTAAGCCTGGGTTTACCCAGTAGAGCCCCTTTCTCAGCCCTGGTGCCCGACTCCCTCACAGAGACTCCTCTCGTAGTAACCATAAGGAGGCACCTAAAGTTGGCTCAACGTTATCCTTTTGAGAGAAACTGAGGGGGTGGTTGGAAAACATTAAAAGGTCACGCTCCTTCCCCTGGCAGCTCACTGATGTGGGAGACTGTCTACATTTTAGGTCAACTGTCAAATTAGATTTTCATCTGCAAAGACTGCAGCCAAACAGGAATGAGGTTTAGACACACGGGTGCCAGGGATTTTTAAAGGAAGTGCACTTGGGCTCGCGTTGGTGTCTAAGTCCCCTTCCCTGTCCCCTGCACTGGGCCAGGGTGGACGGCGCCGTGGGGAATTACCAGCCCCGTGGCTCTCTCTGCCTCTCGGGCCCTCGGAGCCCGGCTTCCTTGTTTACTTACTTAGAGCCCAGCAGAGGAAGTGGTAAAGGAAACTTGCTGAGTCGTTTTCTGAGAAGAGACCATATTTGCTCACAGAGGAAGCCGTTGCTTTCTGGGATCAGGCCTCAGCAGAAAGGACGTCTACTCCAACGAGGCCTTTCCTGAGGGTACCTGGGAGTTGGAAGAGCCAAGGACGCCTCCACACTCTGGATTTGGGGTTCTCCGTCCATGGGCGCAGCCCCCACGCTCAGCTTGTGAGCTCCGTCCCGAAGAGCAGCCATGGCATTCAGGAACGTGCCCTTTCGCTCCGAGGTCCTGGCCTGGGACTCCGACAGCCTTGCAGACTATTTCAGGAAGGTGAGCCTCGCTCTTTGGTGGGTGGTAGGGCTGGGCAGACGCTTGAAGATGGAGTCCGGGCAGAACAGGGAGGCGCGGAGGAGCGCTGTGGACCATCCCACCCCGTGCAGCCTCACCGGTTGAGTGAGCACCATGTACAGATATATGTTCACCACTGTGTGCTCCTGGCAGTGAGTTCTGGGGAGAAGGAAGGACCTCAAAGGGACATGTACCTTCTACGTGCTGGGGCTTCAGTTTGTGCTCTTCAGGCACTGTTCTTCTAACTCTCGCCAGGAGTTTTGTCCCCGTAGCTCAGCTGCAAAATAAGCTCAGGGAGGCTTAACTGGCCCAAAGCCCCAGGGACTGCATGTGGCCGAGGCAGGATTCCAGTCACACCTGCCTGGCTTCAGAGTCCAAGCTCTGAGCCCCAGAACTTCTGTAACTGTTAGTGAGATCAAGGCTACTTTCTAGAAAAGGGAGGCATGGAGTCCTGGAAGTAGGAGAGAGGAAAGACAGGGTCCAAGCCTCTGATGAATGATGCCGGAGGTGGCATCTGGGCAAGTCATTGCTCATGATCTTGAAAGAGGGCTCTTCAAGCCCTTACCCGGACAGAATCTCACTGGAGCTTTGAGGGCCGAGAAACCGACATGCGATCCAGGCCACAGCTAGGGAAACTGAGGCCCCTGAAGAGGAAAAGCTTTGCTAGGCAGGGTCAGAGGCCAAGCCTGCAGCAGAGCTGAGACCAGAGTATTGCTGTCCCTGCCTTCCAGCCTTGAAGATGTTCAAGGATCCCCATTCTTGGTCATCTGCTGGTGGGACCACAGGTCACACATCTGCCTGGGCAGATCCCGAGTCACATGACTCAGTTAGGGACCCTCTATCCCTGTCCAAGGGGTATGATGTCTCGTGAGGGACACCTGAGCTTCTAAGACTCCCATCTCTGGCAGCTGGCATCAAATTCAGTTGATACTCTAGATTTTCACAAAGATGAGATTTTAAGTCAAGACCTCAGAGGTTATCTCAGTCGACTTTCTATTTTTCTTCGGGTGGCGCAGGCTCCCTGGAACACAGAGCTAATGGGGTTTATAATGGTACCAAAGTATTTCCAGTCACAGCTGTTCTTCCCCAAGAAAAATGTGAAAATGCTGAAGCCGGTGTGGCTTGAGGGAGCCCCCAGATCCTATTATTTGCTCCTTTTGGTGCATCTCATTTCTATTATTTTTCCCATTAAAAGGTCATAATAAACACGTTTCAGCACCGTGGATGCAAAGATCATTGAGATAACTGCCTTGAAGGATGTTTCTAAATACTTTTTTAAAAATGTAGAGCAAATACACTAGAGCGACAAGTGAAATTTGCTAAGATGCTATGAAGTAGCATATTACCTCAATAAAGAAAAGAGAAAAGAGGTAGGAATTAGCAAGACATAGCTGGGGACGGGCTGAGAGGCACAGACAGGCCCCATCTCCAATGTGAGAGGGAGAATTACATAACCCAGCAGAGCAACTGAAGAATCCATGGGTAGAGCTCCCCTTAGCACAGGGAGATGGACTGCAGGTCGGGATGATTCAGGGAGACAGCTCTCTGCCTGAGCTGGGGGAGGGAAGAGTTTTCTTGGGGACCCCAGACTCCAGGTTGAGTTTGCAGCACTGCAATAGGTTCCCCCTCCCAGCAAGAAAGGACTGAAGACATGAACCAGGAGCCTGAGGGGCACCTGTGACCCAGGAAGTCCCAGCCCTCCTCAGACCCAGATAAACTCGCTTTAAATCTTCAGCACCTCAATTCCCCCAGAGAGGAAACGCCAAGGGAACTGACCATGGAGTTACGTTGGGATCTATCTTAACCAGCAAGAGTCCTATTGGCAGTTGCAATTTCTAATGAGGCAGTGGGGTCCGGTCCCCCTTGGAGGCTGACTCCAGCCAGCTCTGGAGTCAGACATACACCTTGGTTTGAATCCTGCCTCTACCACCTGCTAGCTTTGTGACTCTCCCTTAGTTACTTCACCTCTCTGGGTCTCGGCTTCTTCGTCAGTAAAACAGCAATGCTGACAGTAACTAACCTCATGGGATTGTTGGGAGAGTTAAAGGAAATACATATGTGAGGCCTTCAGCAGAGAGAGGGGGCCAGTTCATGCTCCATCTTCCCTTGTCCCTGCTCTGTTCACTGGACCCGAGCTGGGGACACCATGCAGAGCGACGGTGTCTTCCTGTCTCACATACACGCCACTCATCCTGCCTGGAATGTAAGCCCTTGAGGACTGAGGCCATGTTTTGTATTTCTTTAACTCCTCCAACTCCTTATGGCTTGGCAGGAAGGCATCCCTGGGCCAGGCAGTGGAGAAGGCTCTGGCTCGGCCATGTAGTAAGCTTTCAAAAATTACTGGAAGTTTCTATTATCACTATTGGAGCAGCAGTTCGGTAAACAACCTAGTTTGGTTCACCAGTAGTGAGTCGTTAATTTAAAAGAATGCTCAAAATCAGTTTGCGATAACACGAAGCAGTGCCTATAGTATCATTTTTAGGTAATTTCAAGAGAAAAGGTCAGGTTAACAAGGTTGAATATAAATGATAACCTCAGTTATGTTTAGAAAGATGCCCAGGATAAAACACTGAAGGGGACACAGCGCCATGTTCACTGAGGTTGTCTTTGGGTGGCGAGACGGTGAATGCTGTTTATTTTCTCCTTTCGGCTCCTCTTTACTTGCCAGAGGAGCATGTGGCCAGCCCTTTGTAGCCCTAAGGGCACCCTCTTTCTGTAGGGGTTGGCCCCAAAGCCTTAGACCGAGACGATTTCTCCATTTCGGAGAGCCCCAAGGGGTTAGTGAAAGCAGGGCTGAGGTAGGGACTGGGCCCCTCTGTCAGACAGGGGAGGGATGGGGGAGGCTGGCTAGCCACAAGTACCACAAATTGCTAAGCTTCTGGGGCAGGCAAGGGAGGGGAACCAACGGCATGAGCCTGCCCACACTGACAGCATCTCCCCTCCTCGTTGCAGCTCAACTACAAGGACTGTGAAAAGGCCGTGAGGAAGTATCACATTGATGGGCTGCGGTTTTTGGTAAGTGCTGGCCAGTCCGACACATGGAGACCGAAGCTGTTCTGCACCTCAGTTGATGGCCGCAGGGCCACCTGATCTGCCCTGTCCCCGGGGCTGCCCAGGGGCAAAGCCTGCCTGCAGGACCCCCACACAGCCCGTGGCCTTCTTCAGTTTTGTATGAACACCTGTCTCATCACCTCTCGGGAGGGAGCGTCTTATTCAGGATACCTCCCAGATCTTTCACCGCTACCAACGTAGATTCTAAAGTCAAAGTATAAGGAGGAATCCAATTATAGTTCAAACACACACACACACACACACACACACACACACACACACACCCCTTGAAAATCTATTCAAATACCACCCATACTTTGAGAAGGCCAAGGGGAAAAAAGACCGTATGGGACAACAGAAGATTCTCTTCTCCCATCTCTCACTCTGGGGTGCGTAGTCACTGACTAGAATAAAGGGTGGAATCACCGTCATTATTTCAATTATGTCCCTCTTTCTCTCTGCTAAATTCACATAGTTGGTTTTGTGCCAATTAAACACACATGTGCCCTGGCTTTCTCCACTCCGTTTTCACTGCAAAAATCTTCAAGTATAAGACTAAGATGCATCTGCATATTAAGGGGTAAGCCATTAGATGAGGAGGGATGCAGCTCTAATTGGCGGATTTAGAGGCATTGGGTAGCAGCTGGGGAGGTGCTCTGAGCACTTCCCCTGAAATGACACCTCTGCCGATGGGGAAAAGAGACCCTGACTGCACCAATCCATCCCTTCTGGTCATGATTCTTCATTGTTTAAAAAAGAAGTAGGAACAGTCTCATGGGGTTGATCTGGAGTTGGGAGGTGGGAGTGGATGGGCAAGCAAAGCTGTGTTTCCTTGTAAGACCTAGTCAGCAACAGTGAGGGAACTGGGCCATCAGACTGCAGGGTTGGAAGGGGCCAGAGAGGTCATACGCCCTAGTTTTCCACCCAGCACACCAATCCATTCCTATATTGCCTCTCTGCCACCATGAGATTCTTGAATCCCTTTAGTGATGGTGAGCTGACTGCCACCTATAGTCATCTGTTCCTTCCTGGGCAGCTCCGAAGTCTCATGCTGAGACCAAACCTGTGTCCTGTTGGTCTGAGTTTTGCTTTCATGTGCCATGTGAGATGTGTCTACTCAGTGTCCCACCTAAATCACTCATATATTCACCCTGCCGTTCACCTATCTGACAAGCATTTTCCTGAGCTCCTCTTGCATACCAGACCATGCCATGTGCTGGGACAGAGAGATCATTAAGATGTGATTCCTGCCTTCCAGAAGTTTGTTGTATAGCAGAAAGGTGTCTTCAGGAAGGCTCCAACCACCTCCTTTGCAACTGAAGAAATATGTACAGAGGTGTGATGTGACACACACCTAGGGATTGAACTGAAGCACACATTTAATTTAAGCTAACACTGTATGAGTTTTTAACAATGCTATTTCTTTATATTGAGCTTTGAGACAATAGAATTACGGGAGTTTTATTGGTCTTCTTGGAACTTACCGCTAAATCTGACTCTTTCTTTCTGCTGCCTTGAGCACTGAGAACAGAGACTCCTCAGGGCTGAGTGGAAAAGGAGTAAGACATCTTTCTTGAGGATGGTCCTGGGTGTGGTCCTGATGCCCTGGGTCACCTTGAACAAGCACTTGCCCTCCCTGAGCCTCCCCTTGGTCTCTCCTCTGTTAATGGAGTGTGTTGGACCAGGCGATAGTGGGTGACAGTCCCTTCCAGCTCTGGTGGCCCCTTGTGAGCTGCATGCCTGTTAGGACTTAGTTGTTGCCTCGGTTGAGGAGCTTTGCCTCCTCTGCCCCAATATCTGGCACCTGCCAGGCCCTTGGAGAACACTGCACATTCTCATCACTGTGTGGACAGGAGGAAGTGGAAAGAGGGGCTGAGGAGCCAGGAGATCAGGGAACAGAACCAGGGCTTGCCCCACAGCGGGGGTGTTTAAAGGCAGCTTCTGTTGAAATCACCCTCCATCCCAGGTGCCCTGGATACAACTTGGGGTCTGGTCTGAGCGCTGATCTCTCACCTGTCACTCCTAGCTTCATAATATCCAGGACCATTCTGTTATTGAAGAGGCAGAAGTGGAAGGCCCTAGTCTTTTCCCCTCCCTCCCTCCCTTCCTTCCTTCCTTTTTTCCCTCATTCCTTCTTCAGCACAGAGCTGGCGGGTCCCTTGTATCTGTTTTGCTGCCATCTTGTTTTCCATTGAGAAGTGGGTCGGGGGGGCGGGGGTGCTATGGTTCCAGAAGCTTGAAGACGAGGAGGACATATGCTTGGAAGCTGTGCCTGTTAGAAACGTGTGCAGTTACATGTAACAGAAACCTAACCACAGGGACTTAACCAAGTAGGGATTTATCTTTCTCAAGTGATAGAAAAAAAAAATCCAGAGGTGGGCACTTGGGGCTGGTGAGCTGCTGAAAGAAGTCATCAAGAACTCAGGCCCTACCCAGCCAATGGAAAAAGTCTGTGGCTTCTGTCCAAATGGTTACAAAATGGCTACTCCTACTCGTGATAGTCCAGGCATCACGTCTGCATTCCAGGCAGGAGGAAGGGGGAAGGGCAAAGACTGAAAAATGCAAAAGTGCATGGGGAATGCATTCTCCCATATTTTTAGGTAAACTTTCCCAAAATCTCTATCCAGTAGACTCCAGGTTATAGCTCACCGGTCACAGCTGAGTCCCATGACCTCAGCCACATGCAAGGGAGTCCAGGATGTTAAATATTTTGAACTGGGCACATTAACTGCTCTGACTGAAACCCAGGTCCTGTCAGTAAGTGAGAAGGAGAGTGGATATTGGTAGGCAAGCAGCAGCACCTGCCACATCGCGCTCCAGGCGGGTCCCAATTCGCAGCTTCTCTGTCTCACGTTCCTCTTGAAGACACGCTCAGCGTGTAAACATACTCCTGCAAGGCCACAAGTCTAGCTCCAAGTCACGGTACAAGTAATCCAGAGTTTGCTGAGGGTTTTTTAAAGGAGGTGGAGCAGAGGGTTACATTACATAGCAAAATTCTCCAAAAACCCTATTTAAGTGTCTTCCATTTTTCCTCTCAGCTCCTATCCATGTTCCAAAGGCCTTTCTCTTTCCTAACATCCTGTTTCTGTGTCTCCAGCCATGCCCACATCCACCTTCTCCTTCACACGCTTCCTGAAATTCCCTCAGCTGATGTCCTTGGCTCACCAAAACAGAAGGCAGTGGCCGGCCGCCCAGTTCTCAGCATTCATTCCCCTGGCAACTCCCAAGGAGCCCTGCATTCATCATGCCCCAGTCTGAACCTCAATCTTGGTACCTTCCCTGAGAAAGGGGTGTTTCTGGAGGGAGGAGATGCAATTGCTCAGTGCTGCAGAAAGAAAAAAAAGAAGACATTAAGAAGTTTGACCAAAAGCTCTGATTGTCTCAGGACTCTTGACAAACTCCCTCCCCACCCCTGCCACAGGGTCTGAGATGGGGGCTGGGTCAGACACTGCTCCTAAAAGCTGGATGAGGCCATCAGCACATTGCTAAGAGGCCCCAGTCCCTGTGCCAGCTGGGCTCAAAGTGAAGCGTGCCCAGCTCACCCCAAAAGGCAGCCAACAATCTGCCAGGCAGCCCTCAGCCCAGAGCTGGAGAAGAAGCAAAGACACTTCCAAGAGCCAGCCAGACCTCAGCTGCTCCCTCTCCCAGGGCAGAAATTATTCACCGAATTCCTGTTTGCCACTGAATCATGCAGTGGACTCACATCATCTCATTCAAACCTCACAAGCCCTGAAATGGGGCTATTGCTATTATGGTTCCCATTTTACAGATAAGGAAACTGAGAGACTAAGTGTCTGCCCCAAATCAAAAAGCTGCTAAGTGAAGGAACCAAGATTTAAATACAACCTGTCTGACTCCAGAGCTCCCACCCTAACCATGGGCTTCTGGCCTCAGAATATCACTGGGGCCCCTTCTTCGGCTGAGTCTTGATTTTAAGGAAAGTGAGCCCACTCTCTTTTCTGGCACTCCCGCCTCTCCTCCCTTCAAGGGGCCTTCTTCTCTCTCCCTCCCTTACCCCTTCCGTCCAACACAAGCCACCAGGACCATACAGGGCTCAGACGTGATAGGAGGGAAGCCTGCAGGAAGAAAACAGACCTTGGATGCCATAGAGCAGGGCTCCAGCCCCAACTTCATCACCTACAAGCTGAAATTCCCTTAAGATCCCCGGGCCCCGGCTTTCTCGCTACAATAGGAGCAACGCTGATAGTTCCCACATCACAGGGTTGATGGGAGGATGAATCGCGGTGCCGTAAGGAGAAGCCCAGTCAGCTCTTCACAAATACGAGTCTCTTTTTCCTTTCCCCTCTTGATTCCCTCAGGAAGTCCTCTTTATCGCATCCCCCATCTGGAGAATTCTACAAATAACCCTGGTGAAAGAGGCATTGGGGTGGGATGATGGGCTAAGGGCATAGATTCCTTCTCCAGGCTGGCTCTTCTCAGCTGCTCCATGTGGATACTGAGAGGGGCCCTGAGGTTTGGGGTAAGAGTCTAGGGGAGACATCACAACACAGCCAAGTTCCACCTACAAAACAAGTTCTGTGTGGTCCCATGGATTTAGCTCTCACAGTGTTTGCTCATTTGCTTTAGTCAAAATTATTTGTCAGTATTTAGAACAGAAGAAATTTCATATAAAATCCAGGTTTCAGGATTCCCTTTGAAAAAGATCTGGCAACACCAGGCCTACGGGTTTTTTGCACCATCTGGAAGCTGCCCACTTTGGATGGATGAGTGGGTAGTACTCTTCAGTTTGCCACAGTCCCCACTGCTCCCTATTGTTTCATACCTAACTTTACTGACCTGGCCCAGAGTCCTTCCTGTGGGTTGTAACCTACCATTGTCTTCATTTCAGAACCTGGCAGAGAATGACATCCAGAAGTTCCCTAAGCTCCGGGTGCCGTAAGTACACAGCCTGATTCCTTGGGTGGTTTGGAGAACAGAGGTTGGAATGGGGAGTCGTCCAGGGGGATCTGAGTCAGTTATCCATCACTATTTATTGGTTTGAAATAGGAAAGTGAGCAGGAAGGGTGAAGGCAAGGGCGGGGTATGAGGAAGAGAAGTTACACAATGAATTAAGAAAAAGTAACAGATCCAGCCCAGCTGGTGTGTTGGCTGCTCTTGCCAAAGATAAGCCTGACTCCGGACCTCGTTTTCATTTCCTCTCTCCCCAGTGGGGTGGGTTGGCCTTTGAAACAGCACCAGAATCAAGTGATCTGAGATTTCATCATGGTGTCCTCACCAACTCAGTAATTTCTTAAGTTTTCTGGACCTCAGTTTCCAGCTCCATAAAATGAGAGAGTTGGGCCCGATGAAGAATGACAATGGACGTCATTTTGTCTGTCAATACTGACTGCCTGCAATGGCTGTCAGGACCATCGTGTTGAGAAGGATTCTGAGGAAAGCGGGGCCATTTCTGATGTCTGACATGGGTGCTAAAATGGGACGCTTTAGCGTGCATATTGTGCTATATTGTGTCTTCTGTCCCTCTAGTAGAAGCCTCACATACTCAGATGCTTATAGGAGCCAGGCAGGTGATAATAAATGTGTAAAACAGGCCAGGCTGAAAAATACAAAGTCCTGTTGATTTCTCTTTCATTTTACCACCTGTGAATAAAATATAGGTATGGAGAAATATTTCTCCACCATAAGAAAAATGATAGCACAATTACGATGATAAAAGAGGTAATCAACACAAAGCCTCCTTGTTGGTGAAACAATAGGGAGTGGTGGAGACTGTGGTAAATCAGCATCTTATTCTCCATCCAAAGAGAGCAGCAGCTTACTCAGCTCCAGTCAGTGTGGACCCAGTGATGCCCACTTTTCAAGTTTATCAAAAGTAGCTAGAAATATCAGTTTTATGCAATGTATCCCAATTTTTAAATCTTCCAAGATATTTTTAAATATTGTGAATGCCAAAGAAAACCTATCGATAGGCTAGATTTAGTCTTGAGGGCACCAGTTTGAGATCTCTACTCTGGCCTTCCTCTGAGGCCCTTTCTTTTGCTCTAAGTCTCAGAGCTCACAACGGTAAAAGGGAAGTAGGTCAATGAAGTATAAGGTTAAAAAGTCTCATGAGTAAGTAGAAGTTCCAGAGTAGCTCAACGAAGGAAAATGTGACTCTTAGGTTTCCCTCAGCTGGAAGGGTGAAGGAAAAAAATGGAGCAAGGATTGGCCTTTGGTGCTGCCTACCTCTGGGGTAACTATTGTTAAAGGATGCTTTTTCTTCTTAAAGATTTTCTCTAGCCACATATGGCTATTTAAATTTAAATTCAATTAAAAATTCAGTTCCTCGGGGGCGCTAGCCACATTTCAAGGGCTCAATAGCCAGATAAAGTGGTAACTACTTTTTGTAGTGGAGAGTGCAGATATAGAACACTTCTGAAATTGCAGAAATGTGATGCTCTAGAAAAAGACCACAGTTCTGTGTAAAGGAGAGACCTTAACATATAAGAGTCAGAACTGGTGGCTGGTGGGCCAGAGTCAGTTTGCAGACATGTTAAGTTTGGTCCACACAGTGTTTTAAAATCGAGAAATGTTCTACAAAACCCAGCTTCTCTAGAAACAAATGGAAGATGTGGTAACTCAGGCCTCATAGCTTACTGCGGCAAGAGTGAGCTGCATCTGAGCACAGATGGGGTCTGTTCTCTCTAGTTCACCATGGCTCCCACCGCTCTCTAAGGGATTATCCTAAGGTGCTTCAATGATTTATATCATATGCATGCAGATTTTGGCTTTCTGACCATCAAGAAGTAATAGAATCCCACTGAAATAACCAAATAACCAGATAAGATACATGAAGCAGCACTTTTTAAGACACTGGACATCAGATGATGAGACACGGAAAACAAATGTGATGATCCCTTTCTGCTTTGAGAGAGCCTCCAGGCCACGGTGCAAGGAGTGGGGAACGTAAGTGCAAGGCTGGTGAATGCCTTGAGTTGAGGAGACAGAGCTGTGAGTCAGGAAGCCTAGAGTTCACTGAATAGGTACCAGAGAGGAGAGAGCTGCACAGAGAACATTTTCTGGAGAACAGCAGAGGGTCGCGCTTCAGCAGAATGTGGTCAGTGCATGCATGTAAGGAAACTGCCTGGAGCTGGCAAAAGAACTACCCCAAAGGGTGAGAGGTCACAGCAGCCAGTCACAGGGCTGGAAACGGTGCCTGTTTCTATATGCCAGATTGGAAAAGTTCCAGATTCACAGTCACTGAGTAGAGGACACAGAGGGAGCTTGCCTCTGCAGTGGGGAATTATCAGCCCTAGCCTAAAAACCCTTCTGGCCTTGCCTTGTGAACCTTAAGAGCAAGAGTGAAGAAAAAAAAAATTTAAGCCATTCCCAGGCAACTTAACTGTATCCCAAAGCAAAGCTCAAAAATATTTATAGGAATGCAAAAATATCCATCCCTCAGAGAGTAAAATCCACAATGTCAAACATCCAATCAAAGATGGATGGGCGTATAGACAAGTGGGAAAAGGTGATCTGTAATTGGGAGGAAAAAAAACAACGCGTCAAAACTGAACTGACAAAGCTACTTGCTGAACAAGGACAATATCACTAGATTCCGTGTGTTCAAAAAGTTAAGTGGAAGCATGAGAAATACAAAAGGACCCAAGTGCAACTTCTAGATATGGAAACGATGGTATGTGAGATGAGAACAACACTGTTTGGTATTGATAGCAGATTAAACGCTGCAGAAGAAAATGTTAGTCAACATGAAGCTACAGCTATGGAAGCTACCCCAAAATGAAACACACAGAGAAAGCAGAATTGAAATGAGACAATGAAAAGAGCACTAGGGAACTCTAGGACAACTTCAAGTTGCCTACTATATGTGTAAGTAAAGTCCAAAGGAGAGGAAGAAGTGTGCATGTGCAGGGGGGCAGGAGAAGACAGAAAGGTAATATTTGAAGAAGTAACGGCTGAAAATTGTTCAAATTGGATGAAAATGATAAACCCATAGATCCAAGAAGCTGAACAAACTCCAAGCCCAAGAAACAGGTAGAAAACTACCCCCAAGGTATATCAGAATCAAATTGCTTAAAACCAGTGATAAAGGGAAGATCTTAAAAGCAGTCGGAGAAAAAAGACATCACATCCAGAGGCACAAACATAAGGGAGACAGCTACTTCTCATCAGGAACAATTCAAATGGGAAGATAGTGGAGCAAGGTTTCAAAGGACTGAAAGAAAATTACTATCAACCTAGAGTTTAATATCCAGCAAAAGGATCTTTAAAAACAAAGTCTTTTCAGACATTGACAATCTGAAAAAATTCATCACCAGCTGCCTTGCACTACCGCAAAGGTTAAAGAAAGTCCTTCAGGCAGAAGGGAGAGGGTTCCAGGTATAAACCTGGTTCTGCACCAGGAAATGAAGCATATCAGGACATATATGTGTATATACTTGACCCTTGAGGGCATTTGAGTTTGCATCTCCTGGACCTCATACAATATTATCACTTCATTCATATTTCATTCATTTAATGAACTGCTACTGAATACCTACAATGGGTCAGGCCTTTGTTAGTTACTCAGGCTACAGAGATAAGGGACAGAATCCCCACCCCAGGACACTGACATTCTGAAGGGAGGGTCAGATACACAAATCAATTGCACTGCAGTGACAGCAGGGCTGAGGCATCTGCGTGTACAAGTCCAGTGGGAGCAGGAAGGCAGCAGTCATTTCCCGCTGGCATTCAGGACAGACTTTTGGGAGGAAAGGAACCTAAGCTGGATTTGGGGATATATTAAGAGTGATCAGATGAAGAACAGTGGATGGACGTTCTAGGAAGGGGAGATATGTTGCAAAGGCGTGGCACCAGTGTGTTTGCTGGAACTGCGAGTGTGTCAGAGCAGCTGGGCTGTACGGGTGGGGAGTGGAAAGCAAAAAGGCCACAGTGGCTGGTCACAATTACGAAGGAAGTGTGAGCCGTTCTAAGGAGGCTGAGAAGGGTGGTGAAGTGAGTGCGCCAGGGAGAACACTGAGGGACAACCTGCATCTTGGCTGCGGGGGACTGTAAAAGACGATTTAGAGGAGGGCTCAGCTGGAGGCATGGAACCCAGTTAGAGGATGATGGCTGTGATTCCCCCATGAGGTGGGAGCTTCTCTGAGGCTGTGGCTGTGAAGATGAAGGCTCTGCCTGCTGGGAAGATCCTTTTTATCTTAAGACTGAGCTCAGCTGATGTCTGTCTGAAGCGGCTGCCAGTTAGCGCAGAAGGATGGCTATAAATAAACACTCTCGCTGCGGGTGAGGTTGGGGTAGACTATTCCTTTAATTATTTGAAATCTAAAACAACAACTTGGACTGCAGTAAAATCCCCCTCTGATTTTGAATGTGTGCCCCAGACAAGCTGTGAGGTGTGCCCAGGGAACGTGAAGGGGGAGCGTGGGGAGTGATGGGGAAGGTGTCCAGGGAGGGGCTGGGCTGCCCCGATCGGTGACTCTCAGAGTCACCATCCCTTTTGGCAGAAAGGTGTAATAAGCACCAATTCCAGCTCTACTGCTGTGAGCTCTGAGCCTGGAATGAGTCCTTGACCACCCTCAGTGTCCCAGACTATAAAATGAAGGAATGGGTTACATGAACTGCATGGGCTTTTCCTTTTAAAGGATATTATTTTAGATCTGAACAGGCAGATAGGAGGGCTTTCTGAGTAAAAGGGCAGGCTCCGAGGTCAGACGACACGAGACTCAACTCTTCCATTCCCTAGCTGCGAGTCTGTGGACAAGTTAACTGGGTTCCCTGAGCCTCAGCTTCCTCATCTGTAAAATGGACACAATAACAGGACCAACCAAAGGGGAAAGGTGGGGAGGGGGTGTGTGTGGATAAACTGGGAGTTTGGGATTAGCAGATACAAACTACTATATACAGAACAGCAGAACAGATAAACAACAAGGTCCTACTGT